ATTTGTATTTAAATTGGTCGTCGTTGCCATGATGATATCACAATTTGTACTATACTGCAGTTTTCTAAATTTTATATTGTTTCTGAATGCTAAGGCTACTCCTCCATATCCATCTGCTCTGTGTTTTTTGATTAAATTGAAGTTGGCTAGTTTTCTGTTATTTCTGTTTTCGTCATGTGAAAAAATTTCAGAAAGAAAAGCTATATCAAAGTTTTCTGTATTTAGAGCAAATTCTAAATTGTCTCTATTTGCCTTCAAAGATTGAATGTTGTATTGAAATATTTTAATGGGCATCTTGATTTTGACTATTGTTGGATGTTAAATTGGGTGGTTCATTTTGATATTTAAGTGCGTTTTCGAACTTGTCTTTTAATAAATTTAATTTTGTACTGAGCTCATTGTTGTCATGGAAAAGTGGAGAAAATAGTTGGAATAATTCATTACATATTGCTGTAGTTTCATCCTTCTTTGGGTAATTATATGTCCAATCGCTTGTGTCATTGGTGTATGAGGGCAGAATGAAGTGTGGGCGTGGCTTATTGAAGCCAACGACCTGCTGCACCACTTTGCTGTATTTCGTTTTGTTGATAATTTGATTGACACTTGTGTCATTGCTGATTACATTTTTAGTTTTTGGACTTAGTTGGGGGAAATTGGTCTCATAGTTTTTTTGGGTGTATATCTCATTGTTATTGAGAGAATAGCTTTCCATGACCTCTTTTCTGGCCAGTTTTTTAATTGTCATGATTTTGAGAATATCAGTTTCCTTGTTCCATACTGTGCAAGAACTCTTCTCCCAGGAATGATGTCCACTACCGTTACATAAGATGCATCTTCCACTTTTGCATCCAGGGGGGCATCCATTTTCTTTGCCACAGCTAAGACATCTTTTCTTTTCCACAATTGAAGCATTGTCTTACATTGGGGAAAAAGTGCATTACTTTTAAGGAGCAAATGTTAAAAAGTTGAACAGATTTCGGTATTTCATTGTTAAGAAATCCTATTTTGACTGTTTCAGTTGGTTCTAGTATGATTTCTTTCAATAGTTCACCCGCTTCATTTTTTTTTCTCCTCATAATTCTTTCAACCGTTTTAATTTTGATTTCGGATTGGATATTATTATAGATATCCTCGTCAGACCAACTTGTTGGTACCCCACGGATTACGCCATATGTCTCAGTGTAGTTCCTCGGGATGAAAGCTTTGTACTTTAATTGGCTGAGACTTTCATTTTTAATTATCTGGTTTGCATTGGTGGCATTATCAAAATATAATTTGTAAAGCGTTGCTCCAATCGCCGTTATGTTCTTCAGGCCTTTGAGTTTAAGGTGACGAATTTTTTCGTAGAGGAAAAGACCATTCTTTATATTTTTATTTTGGATGGCTTCATTTTGACTTGTGTCTACTAGTACACAAGCAGCTCCTAGATGTTCGGCATCATACAGGAAGATAGGTTTTTCAGACTTTGGGTCATTTGGGTCATTTGTGGTGGTACCTGAGTTGTCTGTGTTTGAAATCAATTCATTGTTCTTATTTTCATTTTCTTTGTTACTATTTGTAATTTGGGTTTTTAGGTATTTGATTGCTGAGTTTGGTAGCTTTTTCAGATAATTTTCTGCTGAGCCCATATTGACATTTGTATACTTGCATGTTTTTTTTGATCGAATGAGCGCTGCTTATCGATGTGTCACTCATTGAGCTGTCACTAATTTCTGCAGAGGATATGTCATTTTTTTTTGTTATTTCTCTATTATTAGTATTCTCTTTGGCATTTATTTTGGGAGGTTTTGCCTCGTTGTTGCACTTTGCCGTTTTATTTCCTTTATTATTCAATTTTGTTGATATGGCTGTTTTCTTGAGCTCAGGGGCTTCTCCTTCCGGGCCAAAGATGTCAAGGTTATCAGCATATCTTTTTGTGGCTGACGCCAGTGGGGTGGCGCCCGCCATGTTCTCTCCTCTTCTCTTTAGCACTTCTTAGTCTAGAGGACTTACCACAGCTGCAGGAATTGAGATTTTAGGCACTTTGGGATTTTATGTTTTGTATGTATTTTTGTTTTTTTTTTGTTTTTTTGTTTTTAAGGCACACTAGCTGGCTAGACTTCCGTTCAGTCCGGTTGACGGCAAGCGAATGTTAATTTATATTGAGTGTCTTACCTTTGTTGTTTACATTTTCATAGTTGTTACAGCTGTGTATTTTGTTCATGAGTTAGTAGTTCCGAATATTTGTTATCGATTATGCGGTTCATTTTGAGTAGTGTTGTGTGAGTCTGTTTTGCTACAGACGTGTAGCTTTGTTGTTATCGATTGTGCGGACTGCGGGCCAGGGATGGGACCACACCCAGAGAATCCGATGAGCCAGCCGGCGCGGCCCACTGAGAAACAAGCAGTTCCGTAACACATTGATTAGCTCATTCTGATTCTGACCGAGAAGGAATGCCTAGCCGCCAAACTGGCCATACATCGATTCCGGCCGTACGTGGAGATGATGCCGTTCACGGTAATCACCGATCATGCGAGTCTGCAGTGGCTTATGAGTCTCAAAGACTTGAGCGGGAGATTAGCCAGGTGGTCCCTAGAACTGCAAGCGTTCCCTTTCTCCATGCAGTACCGCAAGGGAGCCGACAACGTCGTCGCAGACACATTGTCCCGAAGCGTGGAAGAGGTCGAACTAACCCCGGAAGATCTGTTGGGATTTCAGACCCCGGAGTTCGAGAGCACCGAATATCGAGAGCTGATAAGAGAGGTGATGAGCCAACAAGGGAAGTTGCCGGACCTTAGAGTGCAGGACGGACTTCTGTTCAAGAGGACCGTGCACGAGAGCTTGGAGGATGAGGTCGAAGGCACCAGTTGGAAGCTCTGGGTGCCGGAGTCGCTGACGGCAGGACTCATCCAACAAGCACACGCGGACGAGACGTCAGCTCATGGAGGCATGAGGAAAACGCTGCACGCGCTGCGCAGGCGATATTATTGGCCCAACATGGCCATACAAGTCAGGGACTATGTTCGGAAATGCGATACATGCAAGGAGACCAAGGCACAGAACTACCGAATGCAGGTCGGAATTGGGGAAGAAGTGCGCACCGACCGCCCCTTCCAGAAGCTATATATCGACTTCTTGGGGAAGTATCCACGGTCGAAACGAGGGCATGCGTGGATATTCGTCGTCGTAGACCACTTCTCGAAGTTTACTTTCCTGAAGGCCATGAGGGAAGCCACCGCGGCGGATGTCGTGAACTTCCTAGTGCATGAGGTGTTCTTCAAATTTGGCGTGCCGGAAGTGATCCATTCGGATAATGGACGACAATTCGTGTCAAAGTCGTTCGATGCGATGGTCCAGGCGTTTGGCATTACTCACCTGCGCACACCAGTGTATTCGCCTCAGAGCAACGCCGCCGAACGCGTGAACCGCACAGTGCTGTCGGCAATCAGAACCTACCTGGGTCAGGATCATCGGGAATGGGACGCGTACCTACCAGAGGTGGAAGTGGCGATCCGGAATGCGGTCCACAGCGCTACGGGAGTCACTCCGTTCTTCGCGGTCTTTGGACAGCAGATGTACCTGAATGGTTCCAGTTACAAACTGGCCAGGAAGCTGAGATCATTGGCCGACCACAGTATTTCTGACCTTGACGCAAAGGACAGACTGGCTGTAATCCGAAGCCAAGTCAAGGACCACCTGCACACCGCATACGAGCGAAGTCGCCAACGGTACGACCACCGCGCGCGACAGCTCCATCTGGAACCGGGACAGGAAGTGTGGAGGCGCAACTTCGCACTAAGCAGCTTCGGCAAAGCCTTCAATGCCAAGTTCGCCCGGAAGTTCTTGAAGAGCCGCGTCGTCCGAGCCGTGGGAACCAACGCCTACGAGTTGGAAGATCTCCAGGGACGCGTGCTAGGCGTCTTCCACGCAAAAGATATACGAACATAATCGTAATTTGCTCACCTCCCTGCCAGGCAACGGCGGCGGCAGCGCCAGTCCCCCCTTTTTTTTTGGGTCAGCGGCAAAAATATAGATTACTTGTCGTGGGTGTGGCCTACGTTGGGCATCGTTATTAGCCGGCTGGGTCAATCCATGAAATGCGCACGCAGATTCCTTGTAACTGTCCTTCATGTCGTTACAATAATCTGCGTGGTGATGTTGCATTTGACGTTATCGGCAGCACCGAGGGTTACTCAGTTGGTTGCGTGCGATATTATCGGCCACGCCGATATCTTTTGTCATATGGTCGGAGTATGCGGGGTGAAGCTGGGCCCACGGCGGAGCCCAAATTTTTGAAGGGTGGCAACGCCAGACATGCGATCCACGGCGCCAAAAGCGACGATTGCTATTGGCCGCCCGGTTCGCTCTTAAAGAGAATATGAGGAGAGCGGATCGCATGCCCTTGGATATGCCCTTGGCCTTCATTTGGGCCGTTGACCCAAAAAAAAATGCAGCTGTGCAGATGAGCAGCAACGGTGCCCGCCTCGCAAATGTATGCGTGTGCCGAAATTCGGCACCGATGGTGTGGCTGCCCAAAATGTCGAGGAGTTCGATTTGTTCAGCGGTTAACGGCGGGCGTGCCAGCTCGAAGTGAGCATAAAAGTTGTACATTGCATTTCTGCTAAAAGGACCCGAATTTCTTCCTTCTGCAAATTAAGCCGGCGCATAATACAAATGACTTAACGGACAAATAAAAGTTTCGTTTTTGTGTTCTTTTTTGCCGTTTAATAAATATATCGAAAGCAAACCGCTCGAGTCACAAAAAAAAATATAATAAAAATTTAAAAGAGACTTAAAACTTAAGTGCGACGAGAGACGAACCAAATAAGCCAAAAATTAACGGCTCCGGCACCAAGGAGACCAGCTCGCGCACCAGAGAGGCCCACGAAACATTCGAAGGCCAGGATTCAGTTCAGCGGCGCAAACCAGCCATACCCGCGACGCCGCCAGCAAGCGTCGGCGCAAACCTGAAGGCGACGAGACGAGCCACCAACGACCGGGCTCCAACAACGAAGAAGCGGCCACAGGCGAGACCCCGCCCACATCCACCGAGTGAGTCCGTTCCATGTTTTTGCCCATCCTCGTTCGAGCCCCTGGCAGAGTCAGAAGAAGACTCCTAATTGCACTCCCTGAAAAGGAGTAGATTTTTTTTTATCGTTAAATTTAGTTAATTTGTATTTATAAAATATATTTATACATACGTAGGCACTTACGCCGAGCTTCACTCTAGAGTGCGAACGGTGAGGGGAACTCCAAAGGTGATGCATCTGCGCCTGTAAAATATAAAAATCTAAAATTAACACTTGCGCGAACTATGCTCACAGACTTACCCAATTTGAATTTACGCATTTATATCGCCCCTTACCACCCCCAGAGAGCTCTTTAGGTAGGGTAAGGTAGAATTAAGCGATTTAATACATACAATACATAATACGTGACATACCCAGTTTTAAGTAATTGTGTGGGCCATTGTTCCTAAATCGGCGCAACGATTGCCTCTAAAGTGCCTCCGTGCGCGTTTCTTTTGCGGCGACTAGCAATATCCTTGTAGTATTTCGTCGCCTGTTCCATTCAGTGTTGTAAAAAAATAAAAAAAAATTAATTCTATAAGATAAGAGAAAAATTTAGGAATTAATGCGCTTTGTCAATTAGTATAAATATATGCAACAGTAATACGCACCTGTGAAGTTAATGAATTATCCGCTTGCATGAGATCCTAAACAGCTGCAAGATAAATGCCATAAGCAATGATTATGATTGTTATACATTTTAAGAAAACGCAACCAATTATACGCACCTATTGAAAGAAATCATGTCCGGCTAAAATAATATTGTTGGGGAGAGTAGGCATTATGGCCGACACGGGCTAATATAGGCCATTTAGTGGCCAAAATGAGGGAGACGAGTGGAGGTGATCGTCTCATGGTAGGGCGGGTACGCTGGGTCCGGAACCGGGGCCCGATCTGGAAGAGTAAGGTGGATAAATAGTGTTTTTTTGTTAATTTATATTTTTTTTTTTTTTTGATTTGGTGAAGACAGTTGCGAGAACTGTCTATGGGGTTGGTCGACGCAAAATACTGCGGCAGATGACCAGATACGTTGTGGCTAGGATAGCTCGAGGCAGTCCTGTGTGTAGTCAGTTGTTTGTGTTGGTTCAGTAAGCTGGTGTGTGTCTGTAATTGTAATAATTAATTATTTGGTTTAGATACTTATTTTTGCTTCATTTATGAATTTTGTTAGTTCTCTTAAGTATAGATGTTCTTTTGTTTTTAGTATATCTTTAGTTGAGTCAGCGCGAGTAAAAATTTTGTATTTTCTTCTTAAACTATTAAATTTATGGCATTGGAAGATGGAGTGTTCTGCGCTTTCTATATCATTGCATACTTCACACATGTTAGTATCAACTTTGTTGATTTTGTGTAGGTATTTTTTATCATATGTATGTCCAGTGAAGAGGCGGTTTATGAGTTTAATATTGGATGCTGTCCACTTTATCTTCTTAAACCATGGGTTTTCTGTTAGGACCGGGAAAAGGCTAAAAAAGAAAATGCCCTTGGTTCTACATAATTCCTTATAATGGTTGTTCCATGTTTGCCATACGCGTCTTTTTGCTGCTCTAAATGCATCTCCCACACTGTAGCTTATGTTTAGAGGGATACCTTCTGTGCATGCCTTTTTGGCTAATGCGTCAGCTTTTTCATTGATCTTTATCTTTTTGTGACCTGGGATCCATACAATTTCTGCTTCTTCTAAGCGTGTCCAGTCTAATATCATATGAATTTCCGCCACTATGTATGAAGATGATTGTTTTTGCCTTAGAAGTGTTATCGCCCCCATGCTATCCGTAAATATTACATGTTTGGCGATATTTTTTTCCCTCGCTATTTCCATTGCTGTTTTTATCGCTAATAGTTCCGCAGATGTCGAGGAGATTGCTTTGTTGCAGCTGAAAATATATTCTTCCTCGCTGGTAACGTTGTATACCGCTATTCCAACCGTATTTTCCATTACAGAAGCATCTGTTGCAAAAATGTGGTATCCCAATTCTTTAAATTTGTGGAGTGTATTTTTAAATGTCGACTGTATTTCCTCAAGAGAGGTATTGTTTTTAGTATTACTTAGTATTTTTGTTGTTAATTTTAAATTTGGATTTGAGTTATACTTTGTTTTTGGTTTTGTGTTGTCCAGTATGTCTTTGTGCGCTTCATATGTTTTCCTGTATGGAGATTTGTGGTACGTTGATTTGATTGTGTTAAATAGGTCTTGATTGTATGTTTTGAGTTTAATTATTTCTTTAACAGTTAACAGTTCAGCCCTGAAAAGGGGAGGGAGCTCTCCTGCAAGCGCATAAATGATGTGAGTCGGCGTGGAAGGTGTCACTCCCATACATCTCCTAAGTGGGATTGCAAGCAGTGAGGTTAGGTTTTTTGCTATGCCTTTATTCATGTTCAGCGTTGTACAGGCGTATTCTACTTTGCTTCTTATGAAGGTTTTGTATATGTTTACAGCAACACTTGGTCTAAGGCCACCTTTGATCGATGTTGAAAATTGCAATACCTGTTGGCTCCTCAGCATTTTTGCTTTTACATCTTTAACATGATTCTTAAGCGACATATTTGCGCTCAGCAACCTTCCCAGAAATTTGATTTCCGAGGCTTGCGGTATGTTCCTCCCATTAACGACTAAGTTGATCATTCTTCTCTTGCTTTTGCTCATCGATAGGGAGGCTGTTTTGGTGGCATTGAAGTTCAAGCCTATATCTTCACATAGCAATTGGAAGGTTGATAACTTGTCCTGTATGTTACTCACTGCACTTGGGAAGGATCGTTTGCTAGATAGGATTATAAAATCGTCAGCATACTGGTATACTTTAGTATCCGGGTCTTCTATTTGGTGCAATCTTTTAGTGTACAGATTGAATAGGATAGGAGACAGGCAACTGCCGTGCGGGATTCCTCCGCATACTTCTAGCATTTCTTCACCAATTTTTAGATATCTGCTGGACATGAAATTCATTATCCACATGACATATTTTGCGGGTATGCCCTCGTGTAACATGATTTTACTTAAATATTCTAGACAGACACAGTTATACGCATTGTTTATGTCTAGACTGACTATGACTACTGCTTTCTTCTGTTGTTAAAGTAGCGAGATTGTGGTTAGTAAATCATTTATGCACATGGTCGTGGATTTGTTTTTTCTGTATGCATAGGACTTTATAGGTAAGATGTTGTTTTCTTCCACGTATTTAGAGATTCTGTTTTTGATCATCATGTTAACAGTTTTGGCAAGGGCCGATATGAGCGATATTGGCCTATAGTTCTCGAGATTCGTAGGGTCTTTGCCATGTTTGAGTATGGGTGCTATGTTTATGATTCTCCACTGAGGAGGAACTGTGCAGTCTTTAAAGAGATCATTATATATGTCAATGAGCTTTGCTTTTCCGTTCTCATTTAATGCCTTGAGCATGTCATATGTTATTTTGTCATGCCCTCCCGCTGTGGGCCTTTTGTGATCTAGGACTTCGGTTAACTCTGACATGGAGAAGAGCATCTCTGCATAATTTTGTTCTTTTGGGAACCTGAGTTCCTGGAAATTGGTTGATCTTGAAACCTGGTCTTTTAACATTTGTAGAAAATGCTTGTGCATAGATGGGCAGAGTTTGGCTGGTTCTGGCTGTGGGCAGTTTTTCAGGGAGTTGAGGAATCTCCAGGCCATTCTTGTGTTCGGTTGCTTGTCCACCATGCTGATTTTGTTAATGTAGCTTTCTTTTTTTGCTTTGGCAACTGCATTTTTCCAGAGTTTCTTTAGAGCAATAGCTTTGTTGAAATTAATAATGGAGGGGAAATTGTTGGCCTTTGCTTGTGAAGCTATAAAATGTCTGTATATTTTTTGTAGGTCGTCAGACCACCAGTATTTGGGGATTTTATTATTTTGTATAGAGTAGCTTGATGTTTTGATTACAGATGAGAATTTTTTGTTGAAGTCATCCAGATTATTGCTGATTGTGAGGTTGGCAATATCCTTCAACAATTTTTTCTTGGCCAGGAAGGTAGTTGGTTTGACTGCTGTGTAGTCTATGTTCACTATTATTGGAAAGTGGTGGCTTCCCCCTAACTGGATTGGCCTGACCAGCCAGCTTTGAGTCGCATTTATTTTGGAGAAAGTTAGGTTGCGCTTGGAAGGTGTTAGCACCTGTATTCAGGCATCTGAAACCTGCATTGGTCATGCACTCTTCCAGAAATCTGCCACGTGCATTTGTTATGTTACCGCCGAAGGCCGTGCTCTTGGCATTGAAGTCACCAGCTATTACTACATTTGTCATATGCTCTAAATGTGCAAGTAGCATGGACATCTCCTGTTTGAACTCCTCAAGGGGGATTCTCGGCTCGAAATAGACCGAAACTAAGGTTAGATTTGTATTTAAATTGGTCGTCGTTGCCATGATGATATCACAATTTGTACTATACTGCAGTTTTCTAAATTTTATATTGTTTCTGAATGCTAAGGCTACTCCTCCATATCCATCTGCTCTGTGTTTTTTGATTAAATTGAAGTTGGCTAGTTTTCTGTTATTTCTGTTTTCGTCATGTGAAAAAATTTCAGAAAGAAAAGCTATATCAAAGTTTTCTGTATTTAGAGCAAATTCTAAATTGTCTCTATTTGCCTTCAAAGATTGAATGTTGTATTGAAATATTTTAATGGGCATCTTGATTTTGACTATTGTTGGATGTTAAATTGGGTGGTTCATTTTGATATTTAAGTGCGTTTTCGAACTTGTCTTTTAATAAATTTAATTTTGTACTGAGCTCATTGTTGTCATGGAAAAGTGGAGAAAATAGTTGGAATAATTCATTACATATTGCTGTAGTTTCATCCTTCTTTGGGTAATTATATGTCCAATCGCTTGTGTCATTGGTGTATGAGGGCAGAATGAAGTGTGGGCGTGGCTTATTGAAGCCAACGACCTGCTGCACCACTTTGCTGTATTTCGTTTTGTTGATAATTTGATTGACACTTGTGTCATTGCTGATTACATTTTTAGTTTTTGGACTTAGTTGGGGGAAATTGGTCTCATAGTTTTTTTGGGTGTATATCTCATTGTTATTGAGAGAATAGCTTTCCATGACCTCTTTTCTGGCCAGTTTTTTAATTGTCATGATTTTGAGAATATCAGTTTCCTTGTTCCATACTGTGCAAGAACTCTTCTCCCAGGAATGATGTCCACTACCGTTACATAAGATGCATCTTCCACTTTTGCATCCAGGGGGGCATCCATTTTCTTTGCCACAGCTAAGACATCTTTTCTTTTCCACAATTGAAGCATTGTCTTACATTGGGGAAAAAGTGCATTACTTTTAAGGAGCAAATGTTAAAAAGTTGAACAGATTTCGGTATTTCATTGTTAAGAAATCCTATTTTGACTGTTTCAGTTGGTTCTAGTATGATTTCTTTCAATAGTTCACCCGCTTCATTTTTTTTTCTCCTCATAATTCTTTCAACCGTTTTAATTTTGATTTCGGATTGGATATTATTATAGATATCCTCGTCAGACCAACTTGTTGGTACCCCACGGATTACGCCATATGTCTCAGTGTAGTTCCTCGGGATGAAAGCTTTGTACTTTAATTGGCTGAGACTTTCATTTTTAATTATCTGGTTTGCATTGGTGGCATTATCAAAATATAATTTGTAAAGCGTTGCTCCAATCGCCGTTATGTTCTTCAGGCCTTTGAGTTTAAGGTGACGAATTTTTTCGTAGAGGAAAAGACCATTCTTTATATTTTTATTTTGGATGGCTTCATTTTGACTTGTGTCTACTAGTACACAAGCAGCTCCTAGATGTTCGGCATCATACAGGAAGATAGGTTTTTCAGACTTTGGGTCATTTGGGTCATTTGTGGTGGTACCTGAGTTGTCTGTGTTTGAAATCAATTCATTGTTCTTATTTTCATTTTCTTTGTTACTATTTGTAATTTGGGTTTTTAGGTATTTGATTGCTGAGTTTGGTAGCTTTTTCAGATAATTTTCTGCTGAGCCCATATTGACATTTGTATACTTGCATGTTTTTTTTGATCGAATGAGCGCTGCTTATCGATGTGTCACTCATTGAGCTGTCACTAATTTCTGCAGAGGATATGTCATTTTTTTTTGTTATTTCTCTATTATTAGTATTCTCTTTGGCATTTATTTTGGGAGGTTTTGCCTCGTTGTTGCACTTTGCCGTTTTATTTCCTTTATTATTCAATTTTGTTGATATGGCTGTTTTCTTGAGCTCAGGGGCTTCTCCTTCCGGGCCAAAGATGTCAAGGTTATCAGCATATCTTTTTGTGGCTGACGCCAGTGGGGTGGCGCCCGCCATGTTCTCTCCTCTTCTCTTTAGCACTTCTTAGTCTAGAGGACTTACCACAGCTGCAGGAATTGAGATTTTAGGCACTTTGGGATTTTATGTTTTGTATGTATTTTTGTTTTTTTTTTGTTTTTTTGTTTTTAAGGCACACTAGCTGGCTAGACTTCCGTTCAGTCCGGTTGACGGCAAGCGAATGTTAATTTATATTGAGTGTCTTACCTTTGTTGTTTACATTTTCATAGTTGTTACAGCTGTGTATTTTGTTCATGAGTTAGTAGTTCCGAATATTTGTTATCGATTATGCGGTTCATTTTGAGTAGTGTTGTGTGAGTCTGTTTTGCTACAGACGTGTAGCTTTGTTGTTATCGATTGTGCGGACTGCGGGCCAGGGATGGGACCACACCCAGAGAATCCGATGAGCCAGCCGGCGCGGCCCACTGAGAAACAAGCAGTTCCGTAACACATTGATTAGCTCATTCTGATTTTCGGTGAAATGTGTCTAAGTTAAAGACTGCGAACAAATGTAAAAAGAATATTTCGGGTACTATATAAAACTTGCTTTCGAGGTTAGAAAATATTTCTTAAATATAAACCAAAGAGTCTCACTTAAGCAGAAAGTAAATTTAAGCACAATAATATGAATAACACACCAAAGAGAGTTAAGCTCGTGCTTATTAGTGTCCAGGATTAAATCATCAGGAATATAAAAATAGTTCTTTCAATCGAGTGTGCGCTGTAAGCAAAAGAAAATTAATTTTAGCGTATATCTTAATTAGAATTTAAATTATAATTCCATTAATATTAATTAAAAATATTTTTCTAGATATACTTTTTTAATTTAACTTATTTTAACCTCATTTACGAAAATTAAATTTATCTAAACTACTATATACCTTTTTCATCTCGTAACGACCACCTTTATCAAAAGCCAATAGACAATAACTCTTATTTTCCAAAATTGAATATAAAATTTCAATTTAATACCGATTCGGCGCAGCCATTTCATTTAGCTGGCAAACCCCCTGTTAAACTTGTAAGCTCCATATAAGTAGCTTAGATACAGTTCACAATCGAATGACAGTGCAAATGTTTCACAAATCCACACCCTATGACCCCCTTCCCACTTCTATTTTCCTGCTCGCCTTCAGCGTAGACTGCAGCAATTACACATTTACACTTTCGGTCAGATACTCCCCACATGGAGCAATTGGATATCATTAATGTGGTTAAATTGTATAACCCACTGCTGTCAGAGGCTGCTTACAGGGCCAAACGGGCATCTAGTTTTAAGACCCAACTCCGCAAATGCTGATGTCTGTGTGTGTATGTGGTTGGGGAATTCTCTGTCAGGGTTTCGTATAACAGACATGTTCCAAGTGCCAAAAAGGAAAGTCTGGCGAACATTTTTGCCTTTACTCTTGCTTTTATTTTCTTTCATTTTTTGGTACACATTTAGCCACAAGCCCAGACAGCTATGGCAAGAAAAAGAAGAAAATTTACCATAGTGAAAACAACAACAAGTTTACTCTGTTGCTCCATTTGCAACATTTATGGTGTTTGCTGTGTGTGTGTGTGTGTGCGTGTGTGTGTGTGTGTGTGTGTGTGTGTGTGTGTGTGTGTGTGTGTGTGCGTGTGTGTGTGTTTGTGTGTGTGTTTATGTGTGTATATGCGTGTGTGCGTGTGTGTGTGTGTGTTTGTGTGTGTGTGTGTGTGTGTGTGTGTGTGTGTGTGTGTGTGTGTGTGTACAGAAGGTCATTTTATTGTTTCCAGTCAAAATGGTCAAATGGGAATTTGTTTTTAGCCATGTTTGTTGTTTTTTTGTGCGTTGCGATTTGCCTATAGATTTAGATTGAGCTGTCGTACATGTTATTGGGCTTGGGCCGTAACGAAAACCCGGCGTCAGCCAGTCAGACAGCGCCAGAGATTGCTTGGCATATCATGTTAGTCAAAGTTGGTATAGCGAGCGCGAGGGAGAGAGAGAGAGTGGATAATCAGAATGATTAGAATAATCGCCGTAGGTGGCTTTTTAAGCTGACTCCATGACACCCATTCGTATTGAACCGGAGCGAACCGGAACGAACTCAGAGTTGGCTCATTAAATTTGCAGCCCTTCAATAGTCAGTTTTGCCAGTGTTTAAAAATGTTTATTGCCCTCGCATGGGCTAAAGGCAAACGGCTCAATTCCCAGTCAAAGTGAATTTTATGGTCATGTGCAATTTCTGGTCTAAAGGGTCGATTTGGGTATTTGGCAGATGAAAAACGCTTTTCTTTGAGCAAGCCCCAGCAGCCGAAGGGCGCTCAAAGACAAAAGCAGATAAATATTTTTCTATGCACATCAATTCAATAACTATTCATGCCAACTTTTGCAATTCATTAAATAACAAAAGTTCTTAGAAAACATTTTGGGTTTTAAAGTCTTTTAGCTTTAAGATTGAGCCAACTAATTAAATTTGATTATTGATATTTAACAATTACATGAAACTCAGCAATTGCTCACAAGTAGCTGAAAGTTTTCCAAACACAGCAAATTTATTCAGTTCAATCTACCAAATTTCTGCGGCGGTTGCTATGTCGCTGAGTAATAATTAATTTTCAAATACAACCATGTCCTACGCGAAGGCTCGTCATCTTTCGCCGAAGCGGAGATAGCGGGACTTCGGGGTGGTATTTAAGAGTTTGTTTATACAGCAAATGCCAACGCATTCGCATAATTTCATTGTAAAGCGCGAGCTGGAAAATTTTGCATAGCTGACAAAATGTTGTTGGGCGGATGGGTCGTTGGATGGAGGGGGGAGGGTGTTGTCTGGGAAGTTACATATATTATAAATGTCTGTGGTGCCATTCCTTGCAATTTATTTAGCATTGCGTAAAAGTGTCTTAAACTGCAAGTCGTAGATTTGTACTTGTCTCTGTTAAGCAGCAGCTTATAAAAGGATACAAACTTTCTTGAACAGCATTTATTAATCATATTTCAGATATTCAACATTAGTTAAGCAGATACAATAGTATTATTGTTTGGACACGCCTAAAATGTTCTCTATTTCGCAGATTCGATCCAAGACTTCTTGGTTTCGAGCTCTTTGATCGTTGAGCTTGTCCGCTATGGCATCCAAGGTAGCTGCGATGGCCAACAGCGACACATCTGTCGTATTCAGATCCCTGCGAGTCGGATATATCTTTGCCCCGGGCACAACTTCAGACTGATCCCCATATGCATTCGATAATCCAATTGCTGCACCTAAAAGTTAATCGTATAATAAAATAAAACTGACAGCAGATTCGCCCGAACCTGAATCCCCAACAGCTGCTGGTGACTCCGATTGTTTTGTAGGTACATCCATTACTACATAGCTGGTTACTGGGGTTGCCACTGGCTCAGCTACAAGAGCCGTAGTCTCCGCGACAATTACGGGCGTTGCCAATGACTCAACAACCGGAGCTGGGGTCTCCACTGCCACTGCCTCAGTTACCAGAACCTGAGTTTCCTCGACAGCTACGGGCGTGGCCACAGGTTCAGATACCGAAATCAAAGTCTCCCCGACAGCTACTGGAGCTTCCACTGGCTCAGCTTCCGGAACAGGGGTCTCTACGACAGCTACGGGCGTCTCTACAGGTTCAGATACCGAAATCGGAGTCTCCACGACAGCTACGGGCATTGCTACTGGCTTAGCTACCGAAGCTGGGGTCTTCATGGCAGCTACGGGCGTCGCCACTGCCTCAGTTACCAGAATCTGAGTTTCCACGACAGCTACGGACGTTCCCACGGGTTCAGATACCGAAATCGGAGTCTCCACGACAGCTACGGGCGTTGCCACTGGCTTAGATACCGAAGCTGGGGTCTCCATGGCAGCTACGGGTGCTGCCATTGCCTCAGCTATCGGAGGCGAAGTTTCCAAAACAACTACGAGGGTTTCTAGTGGCTCAGCTACCTCAACTGGAGTCTCCACGATAGCTTCTGCCGTTGCCACTGACTCTGTTACCAGAACCTGCGCTTCCACGACAGCTACGGGTGTTGCCACTGGATCAGCTACTGCAACTGGAGTATCCACAACAGCTACTAGCGATGCCACTGGTTTAGCTACCGGAGCCAAATTCTCCACGACACCTATGGGAACTGCCACAGGTTCAGCTGCCGAAACCGCAGTCTCCACTACAGGTGCAGGCATTTCCACTGGTTCAGTTACCAGAATCGGGGTCTCCACGTCAGCGTCGGGTGTTGGCACTGGCTCAGCAACTGAAGGTGAAGTTTCCACAACAGCTATTGGTGATGCCACTGGTTCAGTTATCGGAGCCAGAGTCTCCGCGACAGCTACAGGTGTTGCCAGTGACTCAGCTACCGGAATCGGAGTCTCCACGACAGCTACGGGCGTTGCAATTGGTTCAGCTACAGGAACCGGAGTATTCATGACGGGTACGGGTACTGCCACTGATTCAAATAGAGGAGCTGAAGTTTCCGCGATAGGTACGGGGGTTGCCACAGACTCAGCTACCAGAACCGGTGTTTCCAACACAGCTGCTGGTGCTCCCACTAGTTCAGTTACCGGAACTGAAGGTAGGGGTATTGCCACTGGCTCGGCTACCGCAACTGGAGTATCCACGGGCTCCAATGGGGCTGCCACAGGTTCAGTAACCGAAACTGGAGTCTCCACGGCACGTAAGGGGGTTGCCACTGACTCACTTACCAGATCTTGGGTCTCCACGACAGCTATTGTTGCTGGAACTAAAGCCTCCACGACAGCTACCGGTATTGCCACTGGCTCGGCTACTGGAACTGATGTCTCCACGACAGCCAATGGGGTTGCAACAGGGTCACCTACCGAAGCCGCAGTCTCAAAGGTAGCTATATGGGCTGCTACTGACTCAGTTACCCGAACCGGTGTCTCCACGACAGCTACTGGTGCCGGAATTGAAGTCTCGACGACAGCTACCGGTGTTGCCACTGGCTCAGCTAGCGGAATCGAAGTATCCATTATAGTTAAGGGTGTTGCCACAGGTTCGTCCAGAGGAGCCGGGTTCTGCACAACAGCTGCGGGCGCTGCCCCCGGCTCTGCTAAAGGAACTGAGGTCTCCACGACAGCTACTGGAGTTGCTACTGGGGCAGCCACAGGAACTGGAGTCTGCACGACAGGTACGGATACTGCCACTGATTCAGCGATCGGAATGGGCAGTCGCACGTCAGCTACGGGGGCTGGCACCGGATCGACTGCCGGAACTGGAGTCTCCAAGACAGGTGTTGCCTCTGGATCGGCTATAGGAGCTGGAGTTTGCACGGCATCTGCTGGGGTTGCCATTTGGGCAACTATTGGTGCCGGTGAGTCCACGACAGCTACCGGAATCGAAGCCTTCATTACAGCAAGGGGTGTTGCCACCAGATCGGCTTGAGGAACCTGGTTCTGCAAGATAGCTACAGGGGCTGCAAGTTGCACTGCTACAGGATCTGCTGGAACGGCAGATACCGTAGCTATGACAGGCTTAGCTACCGTCTCCGCGGCGATAAAAGGGGTTACAACTGCGTTTGCAACTAACGCTGGTGACCCTAAATCAGGGACGATGAATTCCGCTGGCTTTGCGACCGTAACTGATGTGGACTCGAGTGGAGTCCCGACAGCCGTTGCTGGGGTTGCCATTGTGTTGCTTTAGTATTTCGGTGATTGGTGCTTATGGCGTAAAGCAATTTTTCATTTTTTTAAAATGAATTGCCAATTAAATATCTGTAATTGCCTTTTAGATTTATTTAGCACAAGGTATTCTAAACTGAGACCTTCGGCAAGCAGCTTTCACTTTCATTAAAAGCAAATAGCTGAAAGCGAAGGGAATAGACGAGACATGATAAGTCGCTTAGTCGTGGCCTTCAAAAAAGTCATTGCCCGAAGGAAAGTGATGTTTAACCATGAGAAAAGGCATATCAAAAGCGTAAAATTACAAAACACACGTGCAATTTTTACCGAACCTGTCGTCATTCACGCTGTTTCTTTGTGCCTCAATCGATATATTGAAATGAACTTATTTTTGCATAGGCGCCAGCTTGGCGAGTGTCGTGAAAAAATGCTTCAACGAGCACAGAACAACACTAACAAGTAAGAGGTTCTAGTCGGGAGCTCCCGACTAGGGGATACTCTGATCCCTCTTCTTCCAACATCAAATGCATATATATATTCTATTTTAGAAGCTATGTGTCAAGTTTGGAGACTCTAGCTTTTATTATTTACCAAAATTGCCCAAAAAACAGGATATCGATATCGATTTTTATCGATTGCTTGGAAACGGAGTAAGTTATCGAATATCGGAAACAAACTCGATCTGCGCGGGCACTAGGAGCACATACATCTAAAATTTCTCTAGCTCTTATAGGTTCTGAGATCCTTGCGTTCATACATACGGACGGACGGAAGAACGGACTAAAAATCGGGGATATATATCGGAAAGATAATGAAGCTCTTGAGAGAAATTGTTCCGGACTGATTTGGTGCTAAATAAAGCCAGAAGGGAATTTAATTGAATAATGGCAAGTTACGTAAGCTGATGGTATGCTATTTTTAATTGAATTTAATTTATTTTTTAATTTAATCGAGTTCATTTATGTTCAAATTTGGCATTTTATTTAATTTATAACAAATTACTTTATTCTTATTTTCACTGAGTTTAATTATTGTTTTTTAAATTTGATTAGGTTTATTTATTGAATTCTTTATTTTTACGCCGTCGAGCTGCACAACGAGGAAACACACGTTTGACTGGCTATTTAAAAGAATTTTTCATTTTTCAACAACTCTTATCGCTAATTTTCCTTTGTCAAGAAGCCAAACTAACGCCCATTGAGAACTTAAAGCTAAACGAAGGTGTTTACAAGACTGGAAAAGCCATGAAATGTTTTTATACCCTGAACCCATTAAAAATTGGTAAAATGGAAACAATGTTTTTGTGCAAATGTATGTAACAGGCATAGCAAAGCATCTCCGACCCCATAAAGTGCATATATTCTTAATCAGCATCAACAGCCGAGTCGATCTAGAAATTTTTGAAAATAATCTGTAGGTACTCCTAGTGCCTGCGCAGATCGAGTTTGTTTCCTATAATCGATATCTGACTCCGTTTCCAAGCAATCGATAAAAATCGATATCGACATCCTGTTTTGTAAGCAATTTTAAAATTACCAAACATGATATGTTGCGTATAGAATATTATGTATATATGACAAGTATCTTTCATTTTATACCTATCGCCACCTCCCCGCTAACACCCCAGAGCTATAAATCAAGTTAATCACGCAACTTTTTTTGCCAAATAATTCAAGCCACAATTTAAATGAAATTGACTTTTTAAGAATACACAAATATTCTATGGTACAATAAAATATAGTGTAGAAAATTTCATAAATCGGTTAAGAAAAAATCAAAGTTATATGTAACTGCCCAATAGGATGGGACAGCTAGCGAATACTTCAAGAATTTCTGTATACTTGTGCACACAAACATGCATGCGCGTCTTCTTCGCATTCTAACAGCATGTTAATTGCTACTTTTTTCTGTTCTGCTATTTTAATTCTTTTTTTTCTCTCAAAAGTACTTAATTATTGGTGTGGCTGCTGAGTAGAGGCATACCAAGTGGTGCGGTCTGTCGCGAGTTCGAGCCCTACCGGAGAGTCTTTTTTTATTTTGCTGGTATGGCTGTTGAGTAGAGTCGACAGAAAGTAATGCGGTCAGTTGCGAGTTCGAACTCTGCCAATGGAACTTTTTCTATAAATTTATTTGGTGTTGGAATAAGAGGGTTCAGGGTATTCCCTAGTCGGGAGCTCCCGACTAGACTTGTTATAGTTTGAATGAGTATATGCTAAGTGGCTTTCCCGGGCCCGACCTTGAATAATTTACAAGATCTACAGGTGTTTCGGTTCAGTTGTTGAAAATAGTAGAAATTCGATTCTTATGCCTATAGAGTTGTCAAAAAATATACAATTAACAAATGTAAAATAATGTGTACAAGGTAAATGGTATATTGTATTATTATGATTAAATAGTTTATTATTTATTAAAAATAAACAACATATAGTTTTCAATTCCAGTTACCTGAGCACACAACTAGTTATTTAATTAAAACTGATTACTTTGTGCAGCTTGTCAACAAATGGAAATGTAACTAACCCACGGCCGCCGGCGCCCAATCCGCTGCAGAGCAGAAGATATTGGGCTGATGGCATTCAATGCCTGACACATTGACAAACTGCCAGGACGGAGGAGTCGCTCAATCGGAACACATTAGCTGGAAAAAATGTAATCGCAGAGAACTAAGAAATAAATCTTTCAATTTTTCGAATGAATAAAGGAAATAAATGCAGCCAAATGTGAAGCAATTCTCGGTTCCATGGGAGGCCACGCCCGCCACCCAGCCCCACCGCACACTCCAGCTGCTGCAGCCAGTTTCAATGGAGTTGCACATGTCGGCAGAGGCAACAGGAGACGGGTGCGGGTGCGGGTGCAGGTGCGGGTGCGGGTGGTTGGCGTAATGTGATCTGCGTACGATTTGCAGTCGTCGTTTAAGTCCCGGCACACTTGAGACTTGAGACTCTAGCAAATAGTTTTTCAATCTGGCCGAGGAAAGGAATCGCGATAAAGCGTACAAAATAAAATAACGTATAAATAAAGGATGGAATAAAGAATTCATTCGCACAAATGCAAAATGCTTATATGGAAATCATTCCAACGCCAGGCCCCAAACCTCAGACCTCGAGCGACAAAAACGAAAAAAAATGTATCCGTAGGAGACAGGAGTTTGCGTACATTTGCTGGGAGATTGAATTGGCAGTTCAATTTCACGTATTATTGACATTTAAAGGCAAGCATTGGATATAAACTGAAGCCCGCTCTCAACCAGACAACTGAAGCTATTGGCTGCCTATTATTTCATACGATAAATCAATCGAGTGATGTGTGTAAATAAAGAAGGATAATCAAAGGCAGGCCAGACGCAAGTAGTGCTTTTTCATGTGGCCAGAATAGATATGTGAGTGGGTATAAATAATCTAGGCAGAATATTAAAGAAACATAAATCAGAAATGAATATTTAAAACTATTTATATTAATATTGATAAATAAAATATATCATGAATATTAAAATAAATATTCATTAAAATGGTAATATTATAGAAAGATTATTTAATTTCATTTTAAAGAGGTGCACGTAACTTTTTTGTGTGAGTATAATTAATTGAATTGATATTTGTTGTATAATTTATTTTTTGGAGAAAAAAGTTCAAGGGAGACAAAAGTTAATTATGTTGAAATTGGAAGTATGATTTGTCTGTAGATTAATTTGATATTTGTGGGGTATATATATGTAAAAAAAAATGGACGTAAAAACTAATTATTTTAGGTGATACTTTAGAAAATAACGAAAAAAAATTAAATAAAAAATAAAATAAATAAAATAAGCTGAGAAAAATAAATATCATAATAATTTATATGAAAACACAAATAACAAATAATAAAACAAGTAAAAGGTTCTAGTCGGGAGCTCCCGACTAGGGGATACCCTGAACCCTCTTATTGCAACACCAAATAAATTTAAGAAAAATGTTCCCTTGGCAGGGTTCGAACTCGCAACTGACCGCATTACTTGCTGTCGACTCTACTCAACAGCTACACCAGCAAATTCAAGTAAGAGGATCTAGTCGGGAGCTCCCGACTAGGGGATTCCCTGAACCCTCATCTTCTAACATCAAATGCATATACATATATATTCAATTTTTGAAGCTAAATGTCAAGTTTGGTGACTCTAGCTCTTATAGGTTCTGAGATCTTTGCATTCATACATACGGACAGGCGGACAGACAGACAGACGGACATGGCTAGATCGACTCGGATACTGGTGCTGATAAAGAATATATATATTTTATGGGGTCGGAGATGCTTCCTTCTGCCTGTTACATACATTTAGATTGTGCACAAATACAATATACCCTTATACCCATTTATAATAGGTTCAGGGTATAAAAAGAAAAAATCTTTTCCCGGTAGGGCTCGAATTGGCGACAGACCGCACCACTTGCTATGCCTCTACTCAGCAGCCACACCAATAATTAAGTACTTTTGATAAAAAAAAAGAACTAAAATAACAACAGAAAAAAGTCGCAATTACCAATCTGTTAGAATGCGAAGCAGACGCGCATGAATGTGTGTGTGTACATGTCTACAGAAATTCCTAATGCTGGTGCCCCATCCAATTACGCAGTTATATATAACTTTGGTTTTTTTTAACCGATCCTTATGAAAGTTTATACAGTATATCTTATTGTACTATAGAATATTTGTGTATTCTCAAAAAGTCAATTGCGTAAAA